TCAGAAGTAAATCCTACTGAATTGATGAAGGTTTACTCCCAGGACAAATAACACAGTGGAGGTCTAGACTTCACATAACTGCTCAGAATAAAATTCCGTTAAAGTTGATGGAAGCTGCATCTGATTTTGGGAGAGGATTACAGCATAAAATCTTGAAAAAGTATTATTTTGGACTAATGCATTTAAAGTATTTCGGGAAGAACTTCCTGACTGTGAGAGCCGTTCAGCAGTGGAACTCTCTGCCCCGGAGTGTGGTGGAGGCTCCTTCTTTGGAAGCTTTTAAACAGAGGCTGGATGGCCATCTGTCAGGGGTGATTTGAATACAATATTCCTGCTTCTTGGCAGGGGGTTGGACTGGATGGCCCATGCTCACCGCCAGGGAAGGGAAACTGGGGATCCAATCACTTTAAAAGATGGAAACATGCTAGAGGTAATGAGGAAGAGATCCAGGATGTAGTTTGATCTTTTTATCAGCACTGTCTTGGTACTATCACGTGCCGTTGCTGCCGGGGAACCTATAGTTCTTAGTGAAAAAACAAGGATGTGCCAACTTTTTCCCAGGGGATTGCTCTTCCAACTCTATGATTCTATGACTCTATGACTCTGGGAGCAGAACCCCCAAAATCACTTTTGTCAACTCTGAATGTTTCATTGAATGTGATGGCATTCTTAAGTGCCGGTTTCATGATCCAGAGCCACTTTACTTATCTTGAGACAGCAAATTGAGACAGAAGAATGAGGAAGTCCTCCATCAAAGGACTCGGTGTCACAATGGATGGCAAAGCTGGAATCGAGCCGGAATCCAGCATCCCTCATGAAGCCAGAAAAAGCTTGGACACAGCTGGAATGTTAAAATTGCCTCTGTGTCTGTCTATATATGTTGTATGTCTAACTGGCTTTGAATGTTTACCATGTATAGTGCATTGTAATCTACCCTGAGTCCCTTTCGGGGTGGGAAGGGTGGAATATAAATACTGTAAATAAATAATAATGATTTGGCTGGCCATACAACCAAGGTTGCACACTCTAAAGTTATGTCCTTGAAAATGGGACATGCCCTAGTCTAAATCATTCATACAGTAAATCTGTTTGGTTTGTACTACCAGGTGCCATTTTCACAGTAGCTGACAGTGAGCTAAATCTACTCACTCACTAGCTCTAACTGGAATAGACTTACTGAAACAATGGGAACTTAGTAAATCAAATGCATATGCAAACTCCATTCATTCAATGGGTCTACTCTAATTGGCACTAATAATTGGATTTCAGCCAGTGTCTTTCAGGTGTGTCTACTGCAGCATTTGCTTTATGAGTAACAGGTGGGGTAGAAAGGAAGAGGATTACAACAAAGGAGAATGCATTGCCTTTGAGGAGGGAATAATTTACTTAAAGAGTAAATATATAGTTGAAGAAGAGTGTGTGTAAAATCCTGGTACAGATGATTGAGGGCTGAACAAGAAGAGTCTATCTAGGAATCTCTCAAAGAGAAAACCTCTTGATAGAGATTTTATTTAAAGACTTCCCTGAATTGTCTTTGCTTGTCTTAGTCCAGGTGAGCAATGCTTGGGGGTGTAATTGTGTTTCAGTATTTACACAGGGAGTATTGTGCTGCAAAAAATACACATTGGGGTTTTCCTTGTTGTTCCAACATGAAACTTTAGAATGATTTTAAAATTAATTCAGTTCGTTCTGTCATAGATTTGAAAAAGAAAAGTATTGGCTTAGTAGGGGGTGGAAAGAGATACCATTTAGCATGTAGACATAAGATGACTAACCATTTCCACAACGAGAGTTTGATAGTGATAAATTTGAAAAAAGGATGTAAAATATCAAGACTTTTAAGCAAAATGTTTGACTTTAAAATAATAATCTAAACAAAAACTGATCAGTGGTATTATGGTTAATTGGAAGCAGGTCCCACTGACCTCTTAAAAATTATGCAACATTATGTTTTGCATACATTATATCTGTAGCCCTTAGACTAACAGTGCAGATTTGACACCCATTTGTACACCTAATGACGTATAATGTTTGCAAGTTAAGTTATTTTGAATCAAACTTACTTGTGTACACCTCAGTTTCTTTTCTGTAACACTGGGTTTGTGAAGCTGTAACTCTGATGCTTGGGAGAGGTACATGTATTCTCATGAGTAAATCTCAATGTAAGAAAATGTTTGTGTTCACCCATATGTTTGGAACTAATCCCTTGATGCTGTGTGACTTCCATCTTTTCAGAGAGTAGTACCGCTAGTGTATGGAAAACTGAAGTTCAGCTTCTCTACTGAACCATGAATATGGTGGATGACCTTGAGTAACTCTTTCTCTTTCAGTCTGTGTTCTGAATTTGGAAAAAAATACAATGGGAATGCTACAGACTTGTCTCACAGAGTTACAGAGGGAAGTAGTGAGTATACTTGAATGGTAGTCTAGCATCTAATTTGTACAGAATGTCCCAGGTTAAAGAGATTCTTGGCATTTCTGGTTGAAAAACTCGTGAGTAACCACGTTAGAAAAGCTATGATTAAGAGATTTGGCTTAAGAGTAGGTGGCCCAATGGCCAAATTCAATATAAGGCAGTTTCATAAATTGTTGTAAGAACAACAAAGGCACAATCCTAAATGCTTTCTGGAACATGAATGTATTGAGCCTTGCACCTGAGGAAAGATGTTTGGAATAATATTCTACGAGTACTATAGGAATGATGAGAATAATGATGACATTTAAAAGTAATCTGCAGTTAGATTGTTTTACACGATTGAATGACATACCCATTAAGTATAAGTGGCTTACTTACAGTAAGTATATTTAGTAGTTTGCTAGCAGTATGCTGCAAGGCCTAAAGGCACCAAGTCCCATTTGATTTTGGAAGGTAAGCAGGGTTAGCTCTGGGGAGTGCTTAGGTGAAAGACCACCAGCAAATAACAGATTCTATCTATAAGCTATATTTCAAAGAAAGGAACTGACATAACCACCTGTGAGTACTCTTTGCCTAAGAAAATACTATGGAATTCATGGGGTTGTCATAAGTTCACAAGTGACGAAGGCACAGACACATGCACACACAATTCAGTATGGTTCTGCATACCTTTCTTCAGAAGAATAAAGCAACAGTTGTCTTAATTATTTTACAAGCAAAGTTATTCAAAGCTAATTCAAATAACTAGGTGTTACTTATTTTCCTTTTTGTTCATTGTGTATATGGAAACCTGCAAATCTCTCCTTCCTTTTTCTGGGCTTTAGATAGGTAGTGTAATTTGCAGGATGACAAGAAAGACAGTAAATAGTAGGTTTTTTAATTTGTGTTTTCTGCACTTTAGTGGGGCTTACAATATACCTAAAGGGAGTTGTGTTCTAACAATATGTGGAGGATGCATGTTTCCCATCCTTAGTATAGCTAATATAGAACTAAAGGTGCTACTGCTCTGCCTTGCCATGGAGCCTTTAAAAAAATAATTTGCATGATTTATGCCTCGTCTTTCTCCCTGTGGGGGCTCAAGGTGGCTAACAACCCCACACCTTGGGCACAATTTAAAACAAGGCAAATACATTTTTGCATGTGTTTGTGTGATTGAATGCAAGGGCAGGGCAAGAGTTGGCATTGCTTTGGCTCTCAGAAAGGTCCACTTCCTTTGCTCAACAGTCTTCTAACTGCAGAATATCTTTGAGGTAGAGATGCTCTGATATGGCTGGTTTTAGGGCTGGCTTTAGCACAACAGGTTAATCACCAGCTACAGCTACAGTAAATCTTGCCAGCTGAAAGGTTGACAGTTCGAAGCTGGGTCAGGGTGAGCTCCTGGCCTTCACCCCAGCTCCCTGCCCACCTAGCGGATCGAAAACAGCAATGTGAATAGATGAATAAGAATCACATCAAGTGGGGAGGAAACTTTAGGAACAAAGAAAGCTCTTTGGCAAGGAGATAAAGCAACAGCACCCCCCCCCCCCCCCGTGGCCATAACCAAGCACAGCCTCCAAAAGATGCTGAATGACTAGAAAAGGCCTATATATACCTCTTAACTGTTGTCTGTCTTGACATTGTATAATTGGCACTGAATTTTTGCTGTATATGTGTTCTGTGATACACCCTGAGTCCACTTTGGGGCGAGAAGGGTGGAATATTAGTACTGCAAATAAATATTTTGCTCAATTCCATTAATTTCATTTTAGATTTCAAAGTAAGGGGGATCAATGAGTGTTACATTATCTGTTGTAAGGCAAGCTCTGTCTCCATGGAGCAGAGCTCATTAATAACATGTTACATTATTGTGGGGATAACAAGGACATAACATTTCTTTTACAGAATAATATATCAACCAGTAACATTGGGCTGAATCCTATGGGTAGTCCTGATTGGGCAGGCCAATGGATTTACCTATGTGATAGCTCATTCTTGGGTTAGAGTTGGTCTAACATAGTTGGGACTACCCAACCAAACCACTGTGAGAGGTTTTTTTTCACGGGGGGGGGCTATAATGAGTACTCTTCCGAAATGTGATAGGAGGACTTTTGGAGAGAATTTTGTTCCTTTTTCTGTAGTAAAAGACTTTTTAAAAAGTCAGTTAACAATACATACATGGTAACAAGATTCATACTTTAATTTTAAAAACATAACGTGCTAAGCCTTTTCCTGGATGTTTGTTGAAGGACTTTACCTGTCTATCAGAAAGCATATGCAAATAAGCATCCCATGGCTTCTTTTGGAAGAAAACTGAACTTATGTAATTATTTATGGAACTTCTTAACCCCTTGGGGATGTGGCATGAGCGTAAACATTACATGTGCCAAGCTAGCAAGTAATTGCACCTCTACAGTGCAATCCAATAAACATTTACTTGTTAGTAAGCTTCAGTGGACTTGGACCTGTTTTCCAAATAAACATACAGAGGAACAGATTGTGGAACTGGACTCATTTCTAAGTTCTTACATCCATGTGTTGTGAATCTAATACCACTGGTGTCAGGTTAGCTTTATTGTGATCTCTTTTAAAATTATCCTTCCTGCAGAAAGTCTATCAGCAAAGGTTCGACAAGGTCCAAAACGTCCCTAAAGTCTGCCAAGATGTATCCTTCCCTCCAGAAAGGGACATTCATCTGGGATCCCAAGCCTCAACAAGTGAAGAAAGTCTTTGAAGCTTTGAAGAAAGGACTCAAGTAAGAATTTCCTCCTTCTCCTCATCATCCACACAACACACAACAATATTCTGAGATGTCCCTGTTTTTCTGTGGTTCAAGCGTTCTTGAGCTCTTTCATTGTGAATAGTGATTCCAACTCAGATAAGAGCCTTGCATATTAACTTATAAGCAAAAAGGAAAATAAATACACACTCAGCTGCATACTGCATATGTTATATATCATGCAAGTTGACTTGTAGATGACTTTTAAAGGGGATTAGAGGATTTCATGGAGGATAAGTTCTATCAGAGGATGCTAGCCAAGATGGACAAATATTCTAATATTAGAAGCAGTATTGGTTGGGAGTTGTTACCATTTTCTGAGAAATACAAAGGTAGATGGCACAACGGTTCTCCTATCCTGCTAGTGGACTTACACAATTTTGTTGACTATGGGTACAGAATGCAAGACCAGAAGTCCCTCTATATTGGATAATTAAAGCAGTTTGTCACCACTTGAACTGCTATGGCTTAATGCTATGGAATCCTGGGAGTTGGAGTTTTGCAAGTTTTTAAAGACTTCTTGGCCAAAGTCTCACCAAATTAGAAATCCCAGGATTCTATAACCTTGAGCCATGGTGATTCAAGTGATGTCCAGCTGCATTCATTCTACAGTGTAGACGTACCCCAGTCTTATGAACCAATATCTATGAAATGAACATCTTTGGGGACGTTAGTGGAGTACTGCTGTGGCCCAAACAAATTTCCATTTTCCCATTCTTGATTTCCAGATGTGTGTCAAGATCTCTTACAATCCTAAATCAATCACTACTGGAATGTTTTGGCTCTTGAATGGTGTTCTGGGCTAATTAATTATCTGGATGCAGATAGCTACTTGTATTGAGTTATCTTTATTTGACTTGGGGATTCAAGGCAAGCTCCTTATGTTGCTGTAGTTTAAAGGTTTGAGTACAGAAATATTCAAACTGGCCTTAGAGACCATTGTATTGCTGGCAAGTGATCAAATGGCTAGATTTTGGAGGAACAATATGTTGTGGGTGGATGGGTGGGACTCTCTTTACAATAGTAATGGCGGGGTATTGCTCCCTCCCCTCAAGTAAGTTGGAAAAGACACAGGCTGCTCAACATAAACACACATTGACCTGCTTAGGTTCTGCATCTTGTAAAGCAGCACCGGCTGCATCCTTTGTAAATACAAGAAGAGAAAATTGAGTTATTTGTGTCTGGTCTGAATTAACTTACAAAAGTTAAAGGAATGTGAGCCTAGGAGCTTTGCTCTTTGGGAACTAACATGGAGTTTGCATCTGCAGCTATTACTTGTGATCTTTGTTGGGTTGGGTGCATCAGACCTATTAAGTGCTAAGAGGCCGAACCCATACTGATGAGGGTTCTGTTGCAAAGTAGAAATTCCCATTCCACCCTCATTCATGAGGTCCTTTTCAGAATCTAAAATTCTTGGGCTGAGAAACTATTTTGTTCAGCAGTAACACATTAAAGGGAAAGTTCGTTTCCTTCAGCTTCTGTTGATACTTTAAAATATGGAAGAAAAAGTAACAAGATTGGTTCAAAAACACATATAACTGTTACCAGCAGATGAATGTGGCCTGTATGCAGATGCATGTTGTTGTTCTTGGCTGCTATAAGCAAGTGGTGGCCAAGAAGAGTCCTTAGTTATGACTGCACAAAGAACTAGCAACCTGCATAGACCAATGACATCATCTTCTCACACTGGTTGGATAGTGACATCACTGAGTAAACAATCCCTTCTTTCTTTTTGATTACACATTGGTCTGCATTTGTACCCTGCCCTAGTCTCTGCCTGCCATTTTACCAAGAATATCTTAAGTAACAAACTAATTAAGTGTATATTCTGTCTTTCTCACAATATGGGATTTAAAGCATTGAAAAGCAATGTGCATCACCACATGTTTTTTATGGGGTAGATAGCAGATTAAGCTATTTTTGTTTTAGCAGGCTAAACATGTGGACATGGACTAATCCAGTGTTTCTCAACCTGGGGGTCGAGACCCCTGGAAGGGTTTCGAGGGGGTATCAGAAGGGTCACCAAAGACAATCAGAAAACACAATATTTTCTGTTGGTCATGGGGGTTCTGTGTGGGATATTTGGGTCAATTCAATTTTTGGTGGGGTTCAGAATGCTCTTTGATTGTAGATGAACTATAAAACCCAGCAACTACAACTCCCAAATGTCAAGGTCTGTTTTCCCCAGACTCCACCAGTGTCCACATTTGGGCATATTAAGTATTTGTGCCAAGTTTGGTCCAGATTATTTTTTTTCCACAGTGCTCTCTGGATGTAGGTGAACTACAACTCTAAAACTCAAGGTCAATGCCCACCAAACCCTTCCAGTATTTTTTGTTAGTCATGGGAGTTCTGTGTACCAAGTTTGGTTCAATTCCATCCTTGGTGGAGTCCAGAATGCTCTTTGATTGTAGGTGAACTATAAATCCCAGCAACTACAACTCCCAAATAACAAAATCAATCCACCTCCCAACCCCACCAGTATTCAGATTTTGGTGTATTGAGTATTTGTTCCAAATTTGGTCCAGTGAATGAAAATTCATCCTGCATATCAGACATTTACATGACGATTCACAACACTAGCAAAATTATAGTTATGAAGTAGCTACAAAAATAATTTTATGTTTAGGGGACACCACAAGATGAGAAATTGTATTAAGGGGTCACAGCATTACGAAGGTTGAGAAACACTGGACTAATCCATTAGTATCGTATTTTCAGTTTTACTTGGGGATGGGTGGATGAATAAGATGGCCAGTTAAGCATTTACTCAAGGAAGAAAAACAGATCTGCATAACATTATCATAATAGAATTTATGTATATAGATGAAAATGGAGAGCTCACATATTGAATCTTGCTAGAGTGGGGAAAATGTAGCCAGGTGGTGTCTGGAGTGTTGACAAGCTGGGATAATTCCAGACAAGGTGGCCCAAGATGATAAATGTTTTGGAAACCAAGCCCTATGAGAAATAACTTGAGGGAGGGATAAATATGTTCAACTTGTCAAAAGAAGCTTAAAAAGTGATGATAGTCCTGTTTCAATGTTTGAAGGAAGATTATGGAAATGATGATGCAAGGTTGTTGTCTACAGCTCCAAAGACTAGGACACAAAGCAATAAGTTGAAATGATAAGGAAGAGATTCCATCATTCACAAAGGTCAGAAGTTGTATCATGGCAGAGAGAGTAGAGCGGGTTGTGCTTCTTTTTAGGGTCTCTGACGATGGAATAAACTCCTGTGTTTTGCAATTCTACTCAAGAGAAGGGTACGGTTCCTTTTTTTATAAGAATTAAGGTGCATTACTTACCCAATCGGGACTACCCATAGGATTTATAAGTACGTTTCTCTGGCCATCTTGTTTCATTTACCTGTAAGCACACTTCCCAAGTAGGATTACATTTTGAATTAGCAAGATGACTACTTGAGGTATGTTTATGACACTAGAAATTTATTCTTGAAATGCAATGTAAAACATATTAATCATGTTTTTTTAGTGATTATCTGGAAGTGAAACAGGCAGAACTGGATTATCTGTTGGAATGCCATAAGGACACAAGAAGGAACTCTAGGCTGGTAAGGGTTTTCCCTTTTTTGTCGAACCGCAAATGTTTCCTGACAAGTCATTACTTTATGATCCCCACCTTGTTCCCAGAATTTCATGGAGACTCCAGACTATGCTATCTCCTATGTGTGTATTTTAGTACCATTTATTCAGTAGTGTTTTTGTTAATGGAATATAATCTGCAAAGAAGAACATGATGGAAAAGTTACAGAATGCCTTTTATCTAGAAGCAGCAAAAGCCATTTCTCTAGAATCACCTTTCAGTGAGGTAGGCAGACACTGTGAGGAAAGGATGTAATTCAGAGTTAACCTTTCTCAAAGTTCCAGTCAGTTCAGAAGAGATTGTCTTGATGTGAAACTGGTGGGATTTCCATCTTTCATGTGTATCAACCACACCTCTTCCGTGTGTACACCTCCTATTATCTTGATCTCACTATTTTCAGTTTGAATGATAGTAAGGGATGGATCTTAACTCACTATGGTTTACAAACCAATGTCATAAATAACCAGGTTAATGCTGATACAGTTTCAAAGTGTCAGAGTACAAAGGAGGGAAGCAGGAAGAAGAGAAAGAAACCAGGACAATCCAAAAAAGCTAAAAAAGTGGGACTGTAGAGGATTAATGGGGACTGTTCCTTCCAAAGTGGAACAGTTGGAGGTTGCGTTGTAATCAGACCTTTAAAAAGTTGTAGCCCTTTGGATACCTTGATAATCATTTTTCTTTTTCTCTGCAGACAAACCTTTGAACACAGATAGGCCATGAATATGGGGTTCTCTGTAAAGTCCTTTCAAACCATAATGGTGAACACCATGAATTTTGGATTGGATGTTTGATAGGGTTGGGGCTGATAGAGTAGTGGAGGTTTTTATGCAAATTCCTCATATTGACTAGTAATAAGAGCACAGATGCTCTGTTATAGCTGAGGCCATAGGGCATTCCTTCCTGGATTTTATCCTTTCTCAGCTTCAGAGTATGAGAAAATTACTTTTTGGACTACAATTCTCAGAATCTCCCACCAATAAGGGCATGTTGTAGTCCCAAAAGTAACTCTCCCAAGTTCTGTCCCATCCCACTTTCTGGTAGTAAACTTATAGTTGTAGTGAAAGCAACTGGTCATGTGCAAGCCACATTATGTGAAGTATTGACATATAGTAGTACTTTGTGTTTCTATTCTGTCAACATTAAAGCCATAATTGAAACAATTACACTCTTTCATAAAAATAACTTTGAGTAGTTGGTGTATGCCTCTAATGGATGTATTCATTTTGCTTATTTCTTTTTCAGGCTTTCTACTATGATTTGGATAAGGTAAGGATTTTGTTAGCAGTGACCACAAGTAACACACAAATAACTGTGATATATTTAGAGACACAGAGGCCAGTCTTTTTTTAAATTCCATTTACTATACTAGAGTTTAGAAAAAATAATTTAATGATTACAACTCCCAGGAATTTCCAGTCAGCCAGGACTTGACTGGGGATTCTGGTTGAGTGGCTTGAGTGTTGACTTAGGGCTCCAGGAGTCTAAATCCCTGCTTGGCTATATGAACCCACTGGGTGACTTTGGGGATATCACACTCTCTCAACCCTGAGAAAAGGCCATGCCAGTAAAAAAAAACCTTGATAGAGGCCACCTAAGTCAGAAATTATTTGAAGGCACAACAAAAGAACAAGAACATTTAGCATAAGATAAGTGGTTGGTGGTAGGTCTAGTTGCATTCAATGACAGCTAGCATTTGTGGGCTGCTGGGGTGGAACTAATCATATGGCTGGAAAGGGCCACAAGGGCCATCTAGTCAAAGTACCTGCCATGCAGAAACACACAACAAAAGCACTTCTGAGAGACCAAGCAGACATGAAAGGCAGATTCAAGAGCTCACCAAAAATAGATCCTGTATTCACACACACACACACACACACACACACACACACACACACACCGCCCCTTGAGCCAGTACTATGGACAGGGGAAATAGGCCCAAGGGCATTAAAATTCGAATTGCACATAGATACACAAAAGCCCTCATTTGGATACCCTTTCCTTTAGTTCAGAAAGACTTCATTTGCACAGAGAATCCAGTCATTTTATGATCATGTGTTCAATGTTTTGTGTATGTCTCCAAATGAGAGATATACACAATAAAATAATAATAGTGAATGATGACCATTATTGTAAAAGGGAGAATTGAGTCATTTCCCCATGTAGGCCATATATTAAATCTGTCTTGTTCTCCCAAGTGTTTTGTGATGAAAAGCTATTGATTTCCTCAGTTTTGCTTTCTCATATATTGGCCTCTATGTTATATATGAGTAGTTTTAGGTCATCCAGAAGGGTCATTATGGTTGAGAAGTGGGGTAGATTTTATAAGCAAGAGCCATTTGTCACTTCAAATTTGCTATTACCAGCCCTGATAATGTGGATTATTTGAAACACCTAGTCACATGATCACAGGCATCTTAAAACAAATGGTTATGCTTAGACAACTATACAGTTAAGCAATGAAGTATCTAGAACTGTATCAATAATTCCTTGAATATTCTTTTCTCCTTCTTACAAGCAAATTCGTTATGTGGAAAGATATATCAGGAAACTGGAATTTCACATAAGCAAGGTAAGGATTTATGTTGCCTGCCTGCAAGGTTTATGCTGTGGTATAAATAAATCCCAACACAAAATACCTTTCACCCTTCAGGTCCGAAGGGAAATTGCATTAGGTACTTTCTGAAAGCTACAATCATTTTCTTTGCAAAAGGAGGAGACTTTTTTCAATGGCTCCATTCAGAGCGATTGAATGCAGCCCAAGTTCAGCCTGTAGAACCAGTTTTTATGTGAAGCCAGCATATTTGGAAGGGGGAAAACGCCCTTGCAGTAAGAGAGAAGGAAGGAAGAAGCCTCGAATAACTAGAACTGTAATAACTAGAAGGTAGCTGATCATTTGTCCATCTCTCTCATGCTTGGGTATCCCAGAAATTACCTTTCTTTATAAAAGACTGTGTTTGTGTTTGTAAGGACTAATCTAATTCAAAAATCATAGAATTTAGAGGGGTTTCAAAAGCCATCTAGCCTAACCCCTGCCAATGCAGGAATCTACACTAAAGCACTGCTGAAAAATCGCAATTCAAGCTTGATTTAAAAACCTCTAAATAAGGAGAGTCTGTCACTACCCATTGCTGAACAACTACTCTTTCCAAAAAGTTCTTCTTATTGTTTATATGGATTTTCTCTCTCTCTTGTGTTTTCCACAAACACAAGTTGAACCCTTTGTTTGCATCCTGGTTTTTGTGACATAAATCCCAGCTTGTTTTCTACTGTACCAAAGGAGGGGATGTTCTTCCTATTACATCCAACCCTGAAGACATTGATAATGTGCTTCGTCTCACTTTGCATATTTTTGGATTTCAGTTATTTATGTTTTGTGTAAAATTGTAACTGTACTGGCTGCTTTGATGATAGAGAAGAATTTGAGTAATAAAAAACCTCTATGCAGCCATCCAAAGAGCAGTTCATATCAAGTGAACTTCCTCAAGCTAGTGTTCCCCAGATGTGTTAGACTTTTACCTTGTGATTTTGGAATGGACTTTGCCACTACAGGTAGGGGAAGCTTGATATAAAATGGGGAGTGGACGTAGAGATTTATGTCAGTTCTGTCCTGTCTATGTCAACTCCCATCTCCTGCCTTTCTGTGTTGAGCTGGAGGGAGGATTTTCAGCACATCTGGGTGCACACTCAGAGTGTTCTCTATCATTGGTGGAGCACAGTTAACAGAATTCAGTTAGAAACTCTGTTCTGACTGTCCCACTCAACATGGGATGGTCTGGGCTAGAGCTGATGGAAACAGAGATGTTGAGGGCCAAGGAAAAAGGGTGTGACTAAAAATACCAGTATATTTTAATGTAAAGCTTTTGCTCTGAGCAACTAAAGTTTAGGAAAGACACTTTTGGAATGGAACATTTTTAAAAAGCTGAAAATATATAAAAGCTTAGGAAAGAATCAAATCATGGAAGGGGGATATGACTATCTAGAGAAGCCCTGTTTCAGCCTCATAGCCTGAGGCTCTTCCATATACTTAAGCTTCTGCATAGGACTGTTGCTTCTCTGAACATCTGGACTGAACATTGCAAATTGTGGCACTTCATTGGCTTCTACAATTGTAACTTTTTCCAAGTTTCATGATGTCTTGTCATGCCTAATTGTCATTGCCCAAACAACATTGGATCTGATGAATGGGATTTTGCTTGATATCACCAAGACTTGTCTATTCTGATACTTCCTTAGAGCTAGAGCCCAATGTATGAAACGGTGCTCTCTAACTTCAGAAAGTCAAATGTACATTTTTATTGCAGCACATTTTGGATGGAAGGTAGCTTTTGTTGGCACAGCTATGGAGTAAGCTTTCACTAAGGTTTTATGGATTACATTAGTGGCAAACCATTTCAAGGCTGTTTGTTACAATGATCCAGTTGCTACTTGTTGCATAATCGTTAATGTTATTTGTGTGTGTGTGTGCAAGTATTAAATTTTACAGTGAGTGTAGTTTTCTAAGGAATTCAGATTAAACCTCCTTATTGCTGCCACATCACTGAAATTTAGTTTTTGCTTAGGAGTGCATTTCTGGATTTTGATATGCAACCCTTGTGCTGGGTTGCTTTAGGCAAGTTACGCTTTCTTGCTCTAATCAACAAACTCCAAGGATTGGTGTGGGATCACTGGCTGTTTCACACAGTCTCCTTTCTTGTTCCAGTACATGTACACATAGACACATGCACACAGTGGGCCAACTGATTTCCCAATAGCCCTCAGTGGTAGAGCACATACATACCAGTAGCCATCCCATGGTTTGATTTTAGTATCCTGTCTTTCTCCCAACATAGGACACAAGGCAGCATTCATGAAACAAAAACAGAGTACTTAGGTTAAATCTTATTATACAATTAAAAATTATTATATTAAAGCCACAAAGCTAAAACGGTTTCAAACATATCTAAACCATGATTGTGTTGTAACTCGCCTCGAGCCACAGGGAGAGGCAGGTAAGAAATGTTGTTGTTGTTGTTGTTGTTGTTGTTGTAAATGTTTCCCCTTAACATTAAGTCTAGTTGTATCTGACTCGGGGGTAGGTGGGGGTGCTCATCTCCATTTCTAAGCTGAAGAGCCGGCGTTCTCTGTAGACGCCTCGTAGGTCATGTGGCTGGCATGACTGCATGGAGCACCATTATCTTCCTGCCAAAACGGTACCTATTGATCTCCGCACATTTGCTTGTTTTCGAACTGCTAGGTTGGCAGAAGTTGGGGCTAACAACAGGAGCTCACCTCATCTGCGGATGCGAACTGCCAACCTTCCAGTCAGCAAGTTTTGCAGCTTAGAGGTTTAACCCGCTGCACTACCACAGTCCCTATGATAGAAATGATCAAAGCACACCACATTAAAAGGCCCTTTTGCCACATTAGTTAAGATCTAAAGTACTGCCTAAATACAAAAGTCTTTACCTGCCATCAGAAAGAGAGCATAGATGGGGCCAACTGAATATTGCCTGTGAGGGAGCCCCAGAGCCTGATAATATTAAATGTACCTGTGTTGGTGGTAGCACCAAAAGAAATGATTCCCTAGAGGACCTTAATATTTAGGAAACCTATATAGGGAGATACGATCTTTCAGAGAAAGCCTGGGGAATCTTCCTGCATGACATGTGTGTGGCTCAATAGAGACAACCTCTATTAGTTTCAGTCCATGATAATAAGGCAGCTTTCTTTGCTTCTTTTCTTTACACCTTAAGAACATCTTTGATGGAGGGTTTGCATGCCTGACTCTCGGTCTCACAATCTGATAGAGCCTGATTTTGCAGATGCATGTAAAGACATGTATCTCCACAACCAATATATGTGCTGTTGATAAAACATTAGTGTTTCCCACACCAATCATACTGCAACTGATGAAAGTTCTCACTTGAATATGAGTGCCATTCAAGAACATTTGTCACATTCTCCTCCTTGCAGTTTCGTTTTAATTGTGTTTCCAAGTATAAGTGGGATCCGGTCAAAGTTCATTACTTCCCATTACATGCTCTCACAAGCTTTATTCTTATGAATGAAAGCCAAGAATACTTTGGATTGTGCTTGTTAATACAAGCAAAACAATGAAACAAAGACCATTAATCTAAACACACATTGAATTCAATTTTACAGAGCAGAACATTATTGAAATTGATGTCTGATCTTTGTATCCCTGTTTTTTGTTTTTTTTTAAAGGTTGAAGAATTATATGAAGCATACAGCATCCAATGCAGGCTACGAGATGGTGCTTCGAATATGAAACATGCCTTTTCCTTGTCTCCTTCCACTAAAGCATCAAGGGAGAGCCTGGTAGAACTTTACAAGAATCTCCAAGAATGCACAGAGGTATCATTGCTTTTGCTTCTGACTGTTCCAGTTTTTAAACAATCTACAGCTTTTAGAATTAATGTCAGCATTGAGTATTGTCAGATGTTGCTCCTGGGGAGTCCACATTGAGAAATATTTAGAATCCAGCACCAACTGCTCCAGCTGCTTCTGTCAGAAAAATTAGAAGGACATGATCATTCTTCTCAATAAATGCCGCTTCCAACTGCTCAAGGGCATTGAAAAATGTTCTGCAGCTAGTTTTTGGATCTGACTATGGAACTAAGGAGGGGAGAAAAAAGTTTACACCAGGAAAGCAGGGTATAAGTTTTTGCTTTAGACTATAGATCTGCCAATTATCACTTTTGGAGAAAATCAAAGAAATGGCCAATATTCATGTTTATTCACCGGGATTGTGGCGCAGCTGGCTGAGTGTCAGCTGCATTAAGATCACTCTGACCAAAAGGTCATGAGTTCGAAGCCAGCCCGGGCTGGAGTGGGTGTCCAGCCATTGTGTAGCCCGTTGTCGACCTTTGCAACCCGAAAGACAGTTGCATCTGTCAAGTAGGAAAATAAGGTACCACCTTGTGTGGGAGGCTAAATTTAACTAATTTATGAGGCCATAAAGAAAAGACTCCGGGGAATGTGGAATGCGGAAGAACTTCATCGGTGTCGTTGATGGACGATGAAAAGCAGCAGCTCCCCTGGCGGCCAGAAAAAAGTTAAATAGCCTCGGTGTATTTGTCTGTTAAACGTTATTTGTCAAACTGGCATTGAATGTTTGCCATATATGTGTTTACTGTAATCCACCCTGAGTCCCCTGTGGGGTGAGAAGGGCGGAATATAAGAACTGTAAATAAATAAATAAATAATAAATAAATGTATTATTTGGTGTCTTCGGTGCTACATTTCCATATCTGTTTTTCAGGATATGTGTTTGATTGAGGGGACACTTGAAGTGCATTTGGGAGAATTTCATTTAAAGATGAAAGGTAAGATAAACTTTTCTGGAAAGACAGAAGTTTGTATGAGTGCAAACCATGTTCCTAGGAATCACTCTGCATGAGTTAAAAATGGATTCAAGGACAGAATTCCATGGGGATGTATGAGTTGGAGGGGAGATGAGGTATTGCCCCTGAACAAGAATTCTTTCCCCCACTTCAATTTTCCTCCAATCTCCAGATTTCTAGCACATTTTTAGCACAGAGCTTGTGTCAGGTTTTAGTAGTATGTCTGCTGTGAATAATGCAATAAAGCAGGCATTTGGAACGGATGACTCTTGTGGTCTCTTCCAATGTTATGGATAAATGATTTTAAATTTCTGCTGGGAAAGAAGGAAATAACAAGATTCCATTCTAGCTGAATGCATTATAGCTTTGTGTGGCTGCCTACAACAGGCAAGCTAAACAGCAGCTGCCCCTTTACACAGCATATATGCACAGCAAAACAGAAACAAAGGGGGAGAACACATAGATTATTCATAACTTATTTAAAAAGCATAACTCTTCAAGTCTGACCAAATAAATTGAGCTCAGAAGGAAAAGTAGAGGCTTGTAAATGAAAAAGCCATCCCTGAGTGCATTTCAGGATGTATCTACATTGTAGAATTAATGCAGTTAGACACTACTTTCACTACCCCATCAAAATGTGATGGAATTCTGGGAATTGTAGTTGCATCCTTCAGCATAGAAACCAGAAGACCTTGTAAACTACATCTCCCATGCTTCCATGGCATTAAGTCAGGGCAGTGAAAATGATATCAAATTGCTTTAATTCCACCTTGGAAGAATGTTTCAAGCAATCTGTACACGGGTAAACATATTTTTGTTTGCTTTTCTACCCTAGTTGTTTTACTTTTCATGTGAATACTGTTACTATTGAGTAAAACGTTTGCTGAAACATGTTGAATTGTTCCTCTTTTGGGTGGTGTAGGAACCTATCTTTTCTTCCCATATTATTTCTGTCTCTGGTACCAAATTTTCTTTTAAAGAAGTGATGTCTAGGAATGCATCTACTCGGTTAACTGATATTAATCTGGATATAGTTTGACCTTCAGTCATTCACACTGGGCTCAGTTTTCTTGTATGTTGTGCCAGATCTTGGGAAATTATTTTCTATAAGAATGTAATTGACTTATTTTTTGTGTTCTGGATCATCTATTTACCAGAGAAAGTTTATTTAAATGTAAACCTTGCCAGTGTCACTCATGCCAAATGATTTGTTTGCCCATAAATTTTCTTTGTGGCATTTTCTTGAAGGGAATGGTAACCAAAGGTATTCTAAGATCTTGAACAATGTATATTAATGGTTTCTTTTTTCATATATGGATATTACAAATTCCTTATTTGTATTGTTTCTAGGGTTGGTGGGTTATGCACGTCTCTGCCCAGGGGACCAGTATGAGGTATCGTATTTAGCATTCCTGTCTTGGTAATTTTTTTAAAATATATCTTAGTGATAGGGCACGTTTGTTTCACTGAGCCTTCCTGCCCAAAACACCATAAAATGTCATTGTGTGTTTGTCTGACATGGTGTCATGGTTTGAGAATTGGGCTCTAGAAAACAAGATTTGAATCTTCGCACAGCCATGAAAACCCACTGGGTAACCTTGAGCAAATTATTCTCTCAGTCCCAGAGGAAAACCAAGAGCACCCCCCTCCCCCCGTGGACTAATTCTGACAAGAAAGTTTTAAGGGCAGAGTAAGCTGGAAATGTCTTGAAAGCACACAACTGCATGTATATATCCTTTTTTGTGTTTGTCTCACTGCTTTCTCAGGTATTTGTACGACTTGGCCGACAGAAATGGAAATTAAAAGGCAAGATTCTGACAGATGACAGTCAGACGTGGGATGAGGAGGAAAAAGTTTTTATTCCTAATCTCCATGAGAAGTTTGAAATCAAGGTAGTAACAACATATGTCAATTAATACATATTTATACATGATGGCCATGTATAAATATGCAAGAGGAAGTCATAGGGAGGAGGGAGCAAGCTTGTTTTTTGCTGCTCTGGAGACTAGTACACAGAACAATGGCTTCAAACGACAGGAAATGAGATTCCACCTGAACATGCGGAAGAACTTCCTAACTGTGAGAGCTGTCCAGCAGTGGAACTCTCTGCCTTGAAGTATGGTGGAGGCTCGTTCTTTGGAGGATTTTAAACAGAGGGTGGATGGCCGTCTGTTGGGGGTGCTTTGAATGCAGTTTTCCTGCTTCTTGGCAGGGGCTTGGACTGGATGCCCCATGAGGCCTCTTCAAACTCTGATTCTATGTTTCTGTGCTTCTTCTTTCTTAAAACAAAATTCACCATGTTGTTCATTTTATACCCATACATGAAACATAGAATCAGATGAGTATTGATTTATTGGACCTCCTGTTGTGCCTTCTTTTTATTTCAAATTATGTTTCCCTGCTATCCTTCTGTGAAATAGTTTGATTACCCCAGCATATTTTATTTATTTATTTATTTGCTGCATTTATTGACCGCTGCTCTCAGCCCTAGGGAGTTCTCCAAACTGTAGTACTTAACGATTTAGGGGACAATGGGACAAAGCAGACAATATTTGCTCTTCCTTAAGTAATAGAAGACAACTGTTTATTGTGCTTTTTCTTACATCTTTTTCATTGAAAAGATGTATGTTGTTTTGTCATTGGCTATGATTGCTGTGGCGTGAATCTTTGATGAAAGTCATTTGATTGGTGAGAAGAATGCGTGAATACCAGTGTTACCTCTAACATCTAATTTGATTTTATGTCTTGAGGGTCTTATTAATAATGAACATATTAGCATATAAGTTTGGCAAATAATATCCACTTATTTTGGCAAGTACAGTCCAAGTTAATCCTCTGTCATCCTATTTTTTCACTTTTAAAAAAGTCCCTGTTTTTCTGTCCCACTTATGCTTTTCACTCTTTGTCCTCAACTCATTACCATTGTTGGAAGCTGATTTTAATATGCAAAAGTAGTTTGTGTTCATTTCAGCAGTGGGAGGGTAAGGGCTGATGAAAGCCAGTTCAGAGCTGGACAAACACCATAAATATTTAACCTTGCCTTTTCCAGATTCAGTCAAAAGCAAGCCATAGCCTCTGTTTTACTGTTTATTAAAACCTGTGCCATCTTTACAATATGTTGATAATGTATGTCTAGCTCTGAACTGGCTTTCATATGATACAATTACAGAACTTTGATACTGTAACTGTGTCAATTGCTTTAGTTTAATTATAAGAAATTTTGAGATTTGCAGTTTGGTGAGATATTGAGAATTATCTCCAAAAGCATCTAGTGCCTTGGGTTGTTGTAGGTTTTTTAGGGCTATATAGCCATGGTCTAGAGGCATTCTCTCCTGACGTTTTGCCTGCATCTATGGCAAGCATCCTCAGACGTAATGAGGTCACCTCACTACTTCTGAGGATGCTTGCCATAGATGCAGGTGAAATGTCAGGAGAGAATGTCTCTAGACCATGGCCATATAGCCCGAAAAAACCTACAACAACCCAGTGATTCCGGCCATGAAAGGCTTCGACAATACATCTAGTGCCTTGTTAAACTACAAATTCCAAGACTCCATAGGAAGCAGCCATGGCCATTTATGCTGTCATTGTTGGGTGGAAGAGGTCTGAGGGCCTTTCCACACAGCCAGGTAACTCAGAACATCAAGGTGGAAAATCCCACAATATCTGCTCTGAACAGGGTTATCTGAGTCCACACTGCCATATATCCCAGTTCAAAGCAGAAAATGTAGGATTTTATTCAGCTGTGTGGAAGAAGCCCAAGTAATGTCACCATCTATGTAAGGTCAATTTCATGACACTTTGTCTTGTTCGGTTTCATAATAACATTAACACAGGCAAACATTATTCTAGTGTCATAAAATGGGTAAAACCAGACAAAAAGAAGCCAAGCCACATTATTCTAAAACAGCCAACTGCACCTCTTCCAGATTAGATGAAGTGGTTGTCACTGACAGTGAGAGTTTTCCAAGTTGATAGTTATTTGGGAAAAGAATGATTAAACTCTGTAAGCAAACTATTGCAACACTCTTTACTTGCTGGCAGCATGTGTTTGCGTACTAGCGGGTTAGCTGGGCTACACAGGAAGGAATTCCTGATCCCCTTCCAGCAGATCTTTGAGAAATATGTTTAAAATGTTCCTTTCTTCATCCCCCCCACCCCATGCTGAGAGGTTAATTGAGATGCACTGTACAAATATTGTGAGAAAACATGCAAACCTTGCATTATGCCAGTGAAGATGAATCATCTCTTCCAGATTTGAGGAACAGACAATAGAACTGGCTTTTGCCTTGTTGAGTCATTGGAATCCCACATTAGATTCTCTGCTTTCAATAATCTAGGGGATGAGTTCAGATGTGAATTTTCATCAAATATCATAGCATCAGGTGAAGTGTTTATGTGGGTAGTGGTTGTCATAAATGGAGATCTCGTACAGCCTTAATTAATGCAGTATTTATTTTATCTACCAATAACTGAAGTGACAGTGAATCAATAGCTGTCCTTGAAGATTTGACTGATCCTTGTTTGAACTTTTCCAGGTCACAGAATTGCGAGGACTGAGCACCCTCCAGGTTGGTGTGGTGACCTGTGACAGTATAGACTTCTTCACAACCAGACCTCAGATCATCGTTGTAGATATAACTGAGCTAGGTACCATCAAACTACAGTTGGAAGTTCTCTGGAAGTAAGTATGCTGACTTTCAGGACAGTTCATTCACAGAGTGTATTGTGCACTGGAAAGAATATTTGAGTACATGGCAGGGGGTGTGAGAAAGGGGCATCTTAAGTGTTAGGAAACTCTTTTGAGGAGAATCCTGAAACCATGTTTACATTTTAACCCTTGAGATGTTGAATAAACTCAAGAATTACTATTTCCTCCCTGACAGCCTAGACCCACAATTTTCCTCCCAACTGACAATGTTAGTGAGGATTTCCTGATGGTAATAGTTGTTTCACAGTGTAATATGTGACTTCAGAGTGTGATGGGGTCTCCCTTCTCTAGAGGTTTTAAACAGAAGCTTTGTGTATTCCAGCAATAAAGTTGGGTTGGCTAGACCTTTGGGTCTTCTTTAACTTTATCATCATATATGAATGAGTGGATGACAACAAAGCAAGGATGATACTGTAGGCAAAATTTTGATAGTTGCTGTGTCCTAGAGCAGTGTTTCTTGAACTCTGCTCCTCCAGGTCTTTTGGACTTCGGCTCCCAGAAATCCTAGCTGGTTTACCAGCTGCTAGGAATTGTGGAAACTGAAGTCCAAAACATCTGGAGGATCACAGTTTGAGAAACACTGTTCTGGAGGATGTAAACATCCTCTCTAGAACCTGAAAGATGCAGAAGATGGTGATGATATTGTCCACCAGCTATTGAAGCATAGCACATGATAATCCTTGGTTGCCTCCTACCTAATCATTACATAGCCATATTAGTGAAGGGGGAACAGTGTGCTTTCTCTGTCCTTTTCTGTGGAATCTGAACTAGTTTGAGTTCTAGAGGTTTGGTGGAGAACACTGTTACATGGCCAGAATTAAAATAGAAGATGCAGCTGCTGTCTTTGACTTTTGTGCATAGAATGGGAGCTATCCTTTCTTTTCTTAATAAATGAGTATAGAGGGGTGGACACTCTCTCTCTCTCTCTCTGTGAATGTGTTAGAGAGAAACAGGTATCATACATACTACATAATTATAGTATTAAGGTTCTCCTTTAATTTTCATATTTCAGTCTTACAGAATCCTGGGATAGTTTAAATGCTCCTCCTTAAACAATCAATATGATATGGTGGCAAGACCCTGCAGATCAAAGTTTGATTCCCCATATAGCTGAATGGAGAATTGAACTGTGATCCACAAGTGGACCTTGGGTGGACCACACACTTTCTGCTCCAGAGTACCCCATGGTAGGGTCTCCATAGGTCAGAAAAAACTTGAAAGCACACAACAACAGTTTAGAATTCTTAGCCAGAGAACTCCAGTGCCTCATCAAACTAGAAATCCCAAGATTTAATATGATGCAACAGTGGTAGTAAAGGAGAATAATAGCACTACTTAGTGTGAATCGTCCAAGTCAGTGGGGAAATAATTGAAAGAACACAAATTACCATCTCTATTGTGCCAGTGAATCTCTGTGGTTCTTGTGTCTAATTACATTGTCAGTGCTCAATACCATAGCTTTCACTTCTTATCTACAGACCAAGCCCATTATAGGTATTGGCAGCGGCCCTCCCAACATCCCTCAGCCTAATACCTCCTCTGGAAGATTGGATGAATGGCAAGAGAGTCTAGTCTTCCATGATGTTGTTTTCCCTTCCGCCAGTCTTTTCTCTTTTTAAAATGCTGATCCTTGTGGTTGATTATAGTTCTGCCAGTGGGGTTTTCTGATCTCCATTTCATTCTTTAAATGGAATCTATGTTTGGTTCTCCATTCATCCAAAGAAGAAACAAAGCTTAAACTGTTATTTAAGTCTATACAATAAACACTTGGCTTACATCAGAATTAAAAAGGCAAGGGAGAAGAGCACCCCAAACAAACTGTGTACGGGTTCATTAGCATTCCCATAGTGAAAATTAGCACAGTGGACCCAAATCTGTTGTGCACAGTGATTTTATCATGTTCCTACCCAACCATTCGAGGACAATCACTTGTCTTGCTTTTTAAAAGTATACCAAAAGGGATTGTGACTGGCAGCCTTGTTTTTTAATATTTGTAGGTGTTTCTATTGTACATTTGTAAATGGTTTGCTATTAAAGACAGGTTCAAAATCCTAAAATTGTCTTTTGATCACTGCCATGTAAGGCACTGGAGATGGCATTGTCTTCCATTGAAGCCTTAATAATTAGAAATATAGTCTTCATTTTCCTTTATTAAAATATCATACCACTGACATAATGGAAGTGCATCAAAGTATATTCTTCTGATCCCAAATGAGTGATCTAATGCACATTGGGTTATACTTCTTATATTTTTTGTCCCCAGTGTCATGCCGCCTCTGGTTTTATGCACTGTGGTTTGCTGAAAAATTGACATTTTTGAAACTGATACATCACTGTTTGGGAGCAAAAATATCCAAGTGACAAAGACTGTTAGATTTGCCGGGACATGTTTTCCTCCTGCATTTGTTTCTTTGGGCAAATTACCCTGCATGGCAAGACCGTGCAATCTGGGGGCACTGTTTAATGACTTTAACGGTGACAATACTAGAAAATTCTTAGTTTGTAGGTTTACTACTTTGTAGATTCTGCAAACAAAATGTGACCTCAGGGAACTAGAACATCCTGTCCTGATCCATGAGGGTTCAAATCTCTGGGGAAAAACAATCGTAGCGGAATTGAGTGGGCCACAATATCAAGTAAGAGAGTTGGACCCACTTTTATTCCCTATTATTCAATGTGTTCAATGCATATGTTGCATGACAGCTACTGGCTATGTCAGTTTGGTTGCGACTCCACTATAAACCTGTATTGCAGACACACCTCTGTCTACTGGCTGGAGCCCCATAGTGACAGAATGATAAGCATAGCCAAGAGCAGAGAAAGCTCTAATTGATTCCAATTCTTCTTCCTGGTGCCAAAACATTTTCCACAGAGCTCTTTGCAACCAGCCCTGGTTTACCCGAAGCTTGCCAATATTTCCCTGCTGTTAGCTCTTTAAATCCCGAAATGCGAGTGCCAGCTGCTCATTCAAGGCTGAAGTATTTTCTACAGTTAAATGTGATTATTTCCACTCTAAATTAAAACAGTGACCTCTTGCGGTGATTCAAGCAATGCCAAGTAGTGCTTTTTTACAGTGGGGTTATGAGGCTACACATTGGTGAAATGTATAGTTAGAAGTTGTGCAGGGGAGAACAAGAAGAACACTTAGTGGAACTTTGCCATCTCTCTGTCATAATGTCCAGATGTCAACATTGGGAAATTGTCCACCTCCCAGGCTGCTGCAGTGCTGTGGGCAAGAAATGTATTGCTAGAAGGTGAAGAAGGGGATAAAAGGATTGTATTTGGAGAGAGTTATCTCCAAAGCTCTTTCTTTCTAGGAATAATGGTGAAGAAAATGTTTTCAAGAAGCCAGTCTCTACCCTGGGCTCTTTCATCTATTTAACCATTGAAAATGTCATTGTGGCAGCATCCAGAACCAGTAGTTCAGCCTCACTTGATATCGGGACTTGTGAATTGTTTGATGGCTCCTGCCCCACTTTACAAAGTTGGTAGGAGGGCTGTTATTATTATTTTCCTTCTCAAAGGGGAAGAGAACATTAATTTTCCTGTTCATTATCATTGAAGTATTCTGAAGTATGGAGACCCTTAGAAACACTGGGTGAAACTAGAAGTTCTCTCTCCGTGTTTAGATTAGGTTGCAGCCAGCCTTTATATTTCTTGGGAGGCAAAGAAACAGTTTATGCCTTAACGCATGTCCATTTGGTACACTTCTCATTGGTACACTTCTACAGAGGAACAACTTTTTTCCAGATGATTCTGTGGCCTCTGCTAGTCTTGCAATATCCTCTAGCCAGCATAGTCCGTGATCAACACTGGTTGGTGTACTCTGAAGATGTAGTCCATTTTTTCACCCTAAGCTCTGTCCTCATATGTAAGGTCTGCTTCTAGGGGCAAACTAAGAATGCATAACTTGAAAGTCCCTGAACAGACTCAGTGGAGTTGGCAGATCAAAAGACAACCTGACTAAATGGTGCTACCTAGAAGAATCCCCCATGTTTGTGTGATGGTGGAGCAGAACAAATAACTCAGCATCTGTATGCTTGCCCACAATGCCCTGCCTCATGCACAGAGGAAGAACTATTTAAAGCTACAGACAATGCGGTCACTGTTGCCCGTTTTTGGACTAAAATTATTTAGCTGCTTGTGTTCCCTCTGTTTTATCGGTTTTATAATAATTTATTTATGCAATGCTTTTGACATGAAATAAATATGTAAGGTGAGATTTTTTTCCAGCTGTCTTACTCTTATTTGATGAACATATCCCCACTTCCCACCTCCTTGAACTGTAAGAGAACTTGAAATATTTTAGTAATATGTTATTTGAGAATCCAGGAGTATATAAACATACCAGCCTATATATAGATCACATGTGTATGTGAAAATATATTTAAATGCTATCCTGGAGGTATACGAGAACATCAGAGAGATTCCCACAGTGCAATTTAGAAGAAAAATAGCATTTGTAACTTTTCTTTTTTTACCTCTTAGAAGAAACATTTCATAAGTAGAACAATTTTCCTGAGAAATCTTTTAAGTGATGACATATTTTTTGAGCTACCTCTTTATTAGGGGATTTAAGCATTCACATTTGTAATGTTTGAGTTTTTTTTTTTTACCATAACGCTGTATTCTCAACTGAATTTTCTTGTTCAGTTCCCATCTCCACCCCCAACCCCTTTCATATTTTCCCTGGGAAACTGTTTGCCTGCTCTTATCAATATAAGTGTTTTTTGTGCGATAAGGGAAGATTATGTTCTGTTTTCAATAGATACCATTGCAATTAAAAACCACTTGTTTACAAATTGGTTACTGCTGTACTATCTGCAGTGGAGAGACCAAGGGATTTTTAAAAAATGCCTTCTAAAATTAAGAACAGAGAAATGTGAGGGGTGGCCTTCCTCCCTCCTTTTCCCTCCTCACCCAGTTCTCCAACATGATTCCCTTCCAATGCACTGGGCTACAACTCCCATAAG